CCACTTTCCCTCTCCTCCTCCTACTTCACGTCCGCCTCTCTCCACCTCCAACTCCCCCTCCTCCTCCACCACCTCCAAGTCCACCTCCCCTTCCACCTCCTCTTTCTCCACCTTCTCCTCCACCAACACCAAGCCCCCTCCTCCCCCTCCACCTCCAAGTCCCCCTCCTCCTCCACCTTACCCTTCCCCTCCACCTCCTCCAGCACCTCAAGTCCCCCTCCCTCTCCTCCTCCTCCACCTCCACCTCCTCTCTCTCCTTCTTTTCTTCCCTTTCTGTAACGTTGAACACTAGAACGAACCGAGAACCACGTGTGAGAGTTCATAAAAGTGAACGCTTTCAAACTGTGTTCAAGCTTGTATGATGAACAGGTGTTGCGAGAAAGGTGAACGTGGTTATTTTGGGTCTTTCTGTCTGTCTGTGTCTGTCTTTGTCTTTTTGTCTTTCTCTGTTTGGTTGTCTGCTTTTTTAGTTTCTGTATTTTTGTTCTTTGTTTATCTGTGTTTGTTGTCTGTCTGTATTTTTGTTCTTTGTATTTGTGTTTGTTTGTCTGTCTGTATTTTTGTTCCCTGTCTGTCTGTCTGTTCGCCTACCTGTCTGTAGGTCTCTCTGTTAGTATGTTTACCTACCTGTCAGTCAGTCAGTCAATCTGTGTCTGTTGTATTCTCTGACTGCCTGTCTTTCTGCCTTTCTGTATGTCTCTGTCTCTGCCTGTCTGTCTGTCTGTCTGTCTGTCTGTCTCTCTCTCTCTTTCTCTCTCTCTCTCTCTCTCTCTCTCTCTCTCTCTCTCTCTCTCTCTCTTCTCTCTCTTCTCTCTCTCTCTCTCTATATATAAATATATATATATATTATATATATATAATATATAATATATTATATATTATATATATATACTGCTTTCCGTTTTCTCTTTTTTCTCTCTCTCCCTTCCTTTCGTTCTTAATCAACACGAACTTTTTTAGAAAATAAAAATCGCCATATGATAATGTACACACGTACATTATTTCTACATTCGCAACGCCAATTGCTGTTCGAGTATAAATTGGTCAAGTTTTCACCCAACGGGAACGACAAAACGAATATCTTTCTTTAAAATAATGATGAAGTGAATTTTAAGTTTTAGACAATTTCGTGGTCGGCGGCCATGATGGCTGCGTCCGAACCTATGCAGAATGACAATGACTTACGACTCCATATTGGGTTGGCGGGAAATGGGAGCGGCTCTCATATGATATATATTTATATTTTTTGTTATTCATCTATAAAAGGCTACTTTTGCTTTATTTGGCCTATATATTTTTTTCTATTGTTTTTTGTAGTCGATGAGCCGCGAGCCTTGGCCTTTCTAATTACATGACCGAGACGTGCGAAGGTCACCGAAGCCATAGAAAGGGAAACGAATGACTTCCTTTCTTCGTCGTAAAGGTCGAATCAACAAAAAATAAGAAGAAAGTTAGAGATTAGGAAAACATCGAATTCAATAAATCAAACACACACAGAAAGACAATTTTCTTAACGCTTACTTTCATTCTGGAGAAAATCTCGTAATTAACGAAAGTACTTAACGGAAAAGAGAGAAGTGTAATTAACAGTTTAATTGTGTAATTAACGTTTAATGAACACCCAAATAGATAAAACTTCAACGGTAAACTTGACAGAACAATTAAGACTTCAAACGAGCACAGATAAGACAGGTTAAGTTGCAAGATGAAAATAAGGTTTCAGAACCTCAATATGGCGGGGGGGGGGGGGATGGCAAAAAAAAAAAAAAAAAAAAAAAGATACCAGTCCTTCTGGCTACTTGACAAGGTCACAGGCACAGAAAGGTCATTCAGACACGCCTGGTTAACTACCCTTGTACGACCTCCCTTCCTCCCTCCCCCCTCTCCCCCCCCTTGTGTCTCCCCCCCCTCCCATTCTCTTTCCCTTATCGTCTCTCTCTCTCTCTCTTTCTTCTATCCTTCTCTTCTCTCTTTCTCTTCTTTCTCCCTTTGCTTTCTACTCCCTTCCTCTTCTCCTCCTTCATCCCTATTCTCCTTCTCTTCTCCACAATAATACAACGAGGAAAATGAATCACCATAAAAATAATTAATGAAAAAAAGTAAATGAATGAAAAACACAAATAAGTAGATAATGATGATTTAACCAAAACAAAAAATAAAGAAACAACAACTACAGCCATCAGTAACAACAACAACTTAACAACCACGATTCTACCTAAATTTTAACTGCCGTTTTAACCCTCCCTTAAGTTGGCTGTTAGCTCGTTTCCTCCCATATTTTTCCCCTTTTCCCTGCAGTTATTTCCCAAGGATAGGGCGTGGCGCCGAAAATGCCGGAATGCAGGAAAACGCCACCACCGTTTACGCCCACGCACGCACACACGTACATGTACACGCGCACGCACACACGTACATGTACACGCGCACTCTCACACGTATATGTACACACGCACGCACACACGTACATGTACACACGCACTCACACGTATATGTAAACACGCACGCACACACGTACATGTACACACGCACGCATACACGTACATGTACACACGCACGCACACACGTACATGTACACACGCACGCACACACATTCATGTACACACGCACACACAAGCGCAGACGTAGTACACACACGCACGCACACACGCACGCACACGTACACGCACACAAGCACGCACACACCTACATATCCACACGCTCGCACACACCTACACGTTCACACGCACGCACACCCGTACTCGCCCGCACATACCATCACGTATTTCAGATGATGGACGATTTGTAAGGTATAATACGTGTGTAATTTCGCTGAACTTCGGAAGGGTCTGAAAGATTCGAAATGAAACGCATTTGGAAAACATGCGTGTCTGTGTGGCCTTAAGGTTGAAAATTAAGTCATATACGATGTACATACACACACACACACATATCTATCTATCTATCTATCTATTTATCTATCTATCTATCTATCTATCTATCTATCTATCTATCTGTCTATCTATCTATCTATCTGTCTGTCTGTCTATCTATCTATCTGTCTATCTATCTATCTATCTGTCTGTCTGTCTGTCTATCTATCTATCTATCTATCTATCTATCTATCTATCTATCTATCTATCTATCTATCTATATATAATATATATATTATATATATATATAGAGAGAGAGAGAGAGAGAGAGAGAGAGAGAGAGAGAGAGAGAGAGAGAGAGAGAGACAGGCAAACAGACAGACAGAGAGAGAGAGACAGGCAAACAGACAGACAGACAGAGAGAGAGACAGGCAAACAGACAGACAGAGAGAGAGAGACAGGCAAACAGACAGACAGACAGAGAGAGAGACAGGCAAACAGACAGACAGAGACAGAGAGGGAGAGAGAATGAGAGAGAGATATCGGGCGACTCAACACAGAAAGTGAAAGGAACCAGTTCGTTCTGTTCGAGATTTGACTTGGGATCGGAACCGGTAACGGCAGTGTTGACACCAAATGCTCCGACAGTCTTTTGTTTATTGCATCCCTCCAAAAACCTCTCGTTTATTACCTATTACTTCAACGCTACGTATTCCTTCGTAAATCCTCTTTTTTATATCTCCTGATTGATTTTATTCTATTTATATACAATAAAGATTTGAAAAAAAATAATAAAAAATGGATAAGCTTACCCAGCAGAAAATTGCAATATACTCAGACAAGTTCAATGGCCACCCCCAACCTCCCCCCCCCCTTAAAAAAAAAAAAGAGAGAAAAAAACAATTTTGAACCCGAACATACGGGCGGAGCATCTGTGGGCGCCGCTTGTGAGCAAAACCCACGCCCATGCCCGTGTCAGAGGTCGGATTGGGCGGGGTATGTGGCGTTTTCGCTTCTCATATATATCAAATTAACAGATTATACGGTTTTATAGAAATGAATCGAAAAAATCCGTCTTAGATATATTACATATTAGATACACTTGTAATGAAGAAATATAGAAATAAGATAATATCCGTTGTTGTAACATTATCATTACCAACAGTTACGGCAATAACTAAACAAATAAAAACGACAATAAATCGTCACAGCGCGGGACACTGAGCATGCAGTTGCCAGAGTCTCGATAATAGCTCTTTTTTTTTTCGGGGGCGCCTCGATTCCCCCAAGATAAATGTCTGACCTTTGCCACCTTTCTGCCACACATTCACCATAATTCTCCAGCGATCCGTAAAGGCTGGCATCTCAGTTGGTCGTGTGAGACAAACAATATGACATTTTGCCGCCTTCGAAATGAACCGGAGACGGAAATGGGACGATAGTGTTCCGCGGCGGCCATGTTGGAAGAGGATGTTAAGTGTAAAGGTCTATTTATCATTGGTAATTAAACTGTTACTAATTGCTGTTTAAGGTTTATACTTTTACTGCCAATGACTCTCAAATCACTGTCTAAAATTACTGTTTAAGTAAGGATTAGTGATTTATCTACGAATTCTCAAAGCCACACATCGTGACCGTAACATATGTATAATTGTTTGCAAAATCTGACATTTCCGTTTGAGTTCCTCGTCATTATAGCTGACATTTGATGCACTCCTTAATTAAACATGATTGTATAGAGTGTAAATACCTCTATCTATCTCGATCTCTCTTTCTCTCGCCGCCACGAAACAAAAGAATGTCATGGTCGCTTGTCCGGAAGGCGAGGGACCATTTGTGCAAAGGGCCAAACCTCTATTTATTTCCCGTTTAGTGTGTGCATATTTGGGTCTATGTCTGAACATTATGATTGCATGTTAGTTGTTAGATATAGTGTTTATTTTTCATAGAGATGGGAAAATTAGCTATAACCAGTATAGATCAATAAATAAAAACACAAATGGATATTCTTAGAATAAGCGGAAAATAAGTGTGATAGTTTAATATGACGAATTTCAGATATGCATATCAGCATTAGCGAAGCCACTCAGCACTGCTTTTTTTCTTAGCAATATCTTGAGCTAATTATAATGTTAACTGTGAAACTGCCACATGACATTCAGTAACCTTTGGGCTGTAATGTGAATGACTCACACATTATGGTGTCCTCTAAAGGATAGGGAAATTTAATATAGATCATTAACGTGTTTGGTTCACTGACTAAATCCGGGCAATCTAAGATTTAATATCATGTCTAATAATGCCTTGTCCTCCACAGGTGGTGCGCGCTGGCGCTGGTCTTGGTGGCCGCCTGCTCGGCCTTCCGCAGGAGGACAGACGCCGCCTCCTCTTCAGCATCCGCAACCGACCCAACATTCTCAGTCGCCGCAACTCGAGGACGTCCACGACCGAATCCCCCGAAGAACCGACGACCACGACCCCAGCCCCCGCTGCCGCCGAAGCCGCCTCCGATGCCCCCTCCCACTCCACCAGGCGGCTGCCGCCTTTGCGCCGCCCGGGCATTCGCTTCGGCCTCCGCCCCGGCTCGTCGCTCAAGAACAAGCTAGAGCAGCAGCGAGCGGAGAAGGAGGAGGAGCAGAGCGAGCCTGTCGTCGTATCGCAGCCCCAGCCTGGACAGGAGTTCGCATCGGAGGCTGAGGCGAGCGCCTCGGCGACGTCCCCGGTGGCCAGTGGCGAGAGCGCGAGGCCCGAGCCCGAGGTCCTGACCAAGCCCGTCCCCGGCCAGGAATTCGTGGCCTTCCAGGCATCTCAGCCCTCGGCGCAGGACTCCGTCGTTGCAGGAGATGGCGGCGAAATCCTGTACGTCAGTCTGGACAGCGCCCCAGAGGTAGCGGCCCCTGCAATCACCGAGGAGCACCTGGAGCAGGACGTCCATGCTGCCCAGGAAAACGGAACGGACGGCTTCGACTCCTTCCTGCTGACACCCGATGAACTCCTTCCCGTCATTGGCGACCTCGAGCCCGTGACCGACTACCCCGACTACGACTACGTGACGGAAATCCTGGAGGAAGTGGCCGCCACGGAGCTGCCCCAGGAAGAGGTCCTTGCCGTCAACCCCCGCGCCCACCAAGAACGTCACAGCCTTGGAGCCTGAAGTCGAGACTCTAATTTCGGTCGTGACGAGTCTCCCCACCAAGGTCGAGGGCGAGAGCACGCACGTGGAGCACCACACCGAGTTCGAGCAGAGCGAAGCGGGAGCAGAGAACTACACCCTCAGCCACGACGCCTTCGCCGAGCAGTTCTTGCCAAACATTCCCCAAGCTGAGGTCCCTTCGGAAGACTTCCCTGCTGCGGCGGCGAAGTCTATTCAAGAGGATGAATTTTTGTATGATGCCGAGCCAGCCACAGAACCCGTGCCCGTGGAAGAGCCTGTACCTGAGGAGGTCGAGGCTCCTGCTACCGAAGTCGTCCCCGGTGTGGAGCCCGAGCCTGCTGCAGAACCGTCGCCAGTTGATGAGCACCTTTACCATGACCAGGAGGCCGCCCTGGAGCCTGAACCTGTCCCTGAAAGCGAGCCTGAGCCAGCAGCAGCTGAGTATGAGGGCGTCGCCACAGAAATTCCTGTCGAGACCACCGACTCACCTGTCTTTGCTGAAGAACCCGCTAATGAGACCAACATTGAGATCCTGAGCACGAAGAACCAGCAGAACCCTCCTGTCAACGACCTCTACGGCAAGTACTTCGACGAGAGCGACCTCGACTTCGGCAAGGGAGCCAACGACAACGACAAGCTCCTCTTCCCCGCCGAGACAGAGCAGAAGGTCCGTAGCAAGATCGAGATTAAGGAAGTCAATGGGCAGCTCTATGAATACGAGTACCTTTACTACTATGACGACGAGTATCCCCTCTACGACTATGAGTATTCATCTCCCGTTGATGTAGAACCCGCAGACGCTGATGCCCCTGCCACGTCGTCTACCTCTACCTCAACCACGACGAGCAGCACCACAACCACAACCACCACAACACCACCTCCTACCACAACTACTACTACGACCACCACCACTACCACAGAACGGCCCTCACGCGGAAACACACGGCTGAGCAGCAGAACCAACAGCCGAAGCAGCAGCAGGGAAAGCTCCCGAACTAGCATCAGGGATAACATCAGAGAAAGCAGCAGGGACAGCACCAGGGAGAGCGCAAGAGACAGCAACAGCAGAGGCAGCAGCAGGACCAGCACCAGGACCAGCAACAGGGGAAGCAGCCGGCAACAAGTAGCGGATTCCCAGGAGGCGAACTTCATCGAGCCAGTCAGGTCCTCCGGCCGCTCCCGAGCCATCGACTCCGGCTCCTCCTCCAGGTCCTCTTCTCTCCGAGGCAGAAGCAGCTTCCGGTCGCGCGAGCAGGACGTGAACAGCATCGACAACGGCGTCCAGTCGGTCACCGTAGAAGAGGACAAGCTCCCCGCCCATACCCGCTTCCCTCCCCGCACGCCCGTCACCACAACACCGACCGTGCCCGAACGAGAGCCACTCTTCCAGGAATCCTCGCGCCTCGGCATCGATGAGCACAAGCAGGTTCCTCTCGTGCCCGAAGTCACAGGACTCCAGAGCTCCCACGAACTCCAGACGTCCCGCGGCGCCAGGGTGTTCGACGCAGAAGTGCCCGAAGTGGAGGCCGAAGTGGCGGACACGATCTATGACGAGATCACCACCGAGGAGGTTCCCACGACCACTTTCTCCCCCTCTGCTCTGTCTCTCGTAAACCTCTACGCCTTCTCTCGCGCTGCCGACGCTGAAGACATGGGTGAAGTCACCACTGAGATCCCACAGTCGCCAGACTACGAGACTGAGATTCCAATCGATTACTACTACTACGACTACGAGAGTGGAGCCGCCACCGACTACCCCGCCTTGACCGAGGCTGTTACTGAGCCACCGAACCACAGGCAGAACCTGAACCTGAGCCAGAACCCAGCACTGAGGAACCAACCACTACCTCGACCACGACCACTACTACCACCACTACCACCACCACAACTACAACACCTGAGCCTACCACAACCACCACCGCCAGGACACGTGGCTTCTCCAGGACTAACGTTGGATCGCGTTTCAGCAGCCGCGTCCGAGGCAGCCGATTCCAGCCTTCCAGCACCACCACCACAACCGAGGCTCCCGCCGAAGAGTCCACGCAGACCAGGTCCAGGTTTGGCGGCTCTCGGTTCAGCAGCAACAGGAACCGCTTCAGCTCCAACCGTTTCAGCACCAACCGCTTCAAGTCCCAGTCGTCCACAGACAAACCCGCCGAGGAGGAGGGGGAGGAGGCTGCATCTGAGGCCTCTGTGGACAGCACGACTGAAAGGAGTGGAGGCTTCAGGAACAGATTCAACAAGCCCAGAGTCAGTTCCTTCAGGAACCGTGGAGTCACAAAGAAGGACAACGAAGTAACAGAACCCACCACTGAAAGAACGGCGACCCGTGCCAGGCCGAGACTGCCATCCAGGGCAGGTCTCCTTGGCAGCCGATTCCGCGGGCGTGGAACCACCGCAGCTGCTGCAGCCACCACAGAGCCAACTGAGGACGTCGAGGCCCCTGTAGAAGAGACCGTTGTGGCCGACGTAGAAGCCGAAGCCGAGAGCAGCACAGACACTTTGGAATCGGTGATTTCTACCACCGCAGCCCCAGCCCCTGCCAGAGGCAACACCAGGAGACGCCCCAGCATCAGCAGACACCGCTTTGGAGGTCGTAGGAAGCCTGAAGCTGAAGCAAAGAAAGAGGCTGAGGAAGTACCGGCCGAGGGCGAAGCTCCTGCTGAAGAGGCTGCAGTGGAGGCTGAGGCCCCTCAGGCTGCCCAAGCCCCCAGGCTCCTCAGGGCCGTCCTGCTCGCCCCTCCCGCACCCGCCCTCGAGGCCCTCCTCCTGAGAGCCAGGACGAACCCCCGGCACCGAGGCGGCGCCCGCACGGAGGCCCCGGCAGAGGAGGCAGCAGCCCCGGCCGAGGAAGCGCCTGTCGACCCAGCGCAGCAGCAGACCGACGTCCAACACACAGCAGAAGAAGTCGTGGCAGGCGAAGGGGCTGAGCAGGATCCCGCCGCTGCCGCGGAGGAGGAAGCGGCCGCCGACGAGCCTGCAGACAAGCGTCGCCCCGGAGTCGGAATCGGAGGCAAGAGGCGCGTCATGCTCAACCGCTTCAACAAGAACCGCAGCTCCGCCCCAGCAGCACCACGACGCCGCAGCCCAAGCGCGCCCCGTCGTCCAACAACCGCCGCACGGCACTCACGTCGCTCTTCAACCGAAGGAACCGCCGCCCCGGAAGAAGGAACAAGGGAGCCGCAGAGGAAGAGCCTGCTGCAGAGGAGCCCGTAGACGCCGCAGAGCAGGAAGCGCCCGTCGAGGATGACAATCAAGTAGCAGGTAAGTCGTCGCCACGAAACGGTCTTCTGCTCCAGAAATGAGAATATTGGTTCATTTTGTTTATATAATCAGATATCACACTGAGGACCATTCAGGACCTGCCATAGAATCTTCCTTTTGACAATAGTGTGGATTTCAAAATTTATATATATCATGAACCGCATGTATCAGACATAACGAAATGACTCACCATTATTATTATTTTCCTAACGTTTACGACCAACGAGGACTGATGAACGAAGAGGGCAGATGGGGGACCTTTTATTCCCTTAAATTTTGTCAAAACGAAAAAAAAACTCAGCCAAAAGTGGTCGAGCGGGACGATCCATGACGACCTTCCCAGCCCCCTCCTCTCCGCCGGCCGACGACCTAACCACGACCACCTCGGAGCGACTTGAAGTTACGACTTGGACTTAGAACTGGACGGACAGAGGGTGGTGGGAGAGAGCAGGGCTTTTGCAGAGGAAAGAGGAAGTAGGAGGAGTAGGAGGAGGAAAAGGGAGAAAGAGGAGGAGGAGGAGGAAGAGGGAGAATGAGGAGGAGGAGGAGGAGGAAGAGGGAGAAGGAGGAGGAGGAGGAAAAAGAGGGATATGGAGGAGAAGGAGGAGGAGGGGGAAATGTAAACAGAGAAGGAGGAAGACTAGGAGTAAAGGAGATAAGGAGGAGGGAGAAGATAAACAGGGGAGGAGGAGGCGTAAGTAGAAGAGAAAAAGGAGGAGAAGGAGGAAAACCGACGCTTCGTAATAACTTACCACACCTCTTCTTACAAGATGACTTCTTGGGTTCATCAGACTTTCTCTCAAAGACTTCAGGCCTTTTTGTGCCTCTCTATAGACTCCAATGCCTTTTTTTCTCATAAACTCGAGACACTTTCGACCCTATTGGCTTACGACTGCTTCCTTGACAACACTTTAAACTGAATCAAAATTACTCTTTGACTCTTATTTACACAGCTCTCCTGTTACTTTTTTAGTGTGTAGTATATCCACTATTCGTCTTTAAATCCTTGTCCGTAAAAGGGATATATCCTAATTTATTTCAATCTTTGTTCTTGATTTGTTTCCGTATTCATTCCTTTTCGTACTTTGACAGTATGTATTCTTTTTTTATCTAGTTTGTAATTCCCAAATATTTTTCTTCACTGTGTTCATAAGTTTTCATTCGTAGTTCAATTTAACTTGTATCCCATTACCTAAATGACCAAACCGTCACAAATAGTCTTGTGCGCATAAAATTCTCTAAGGAAATGTGTCACTGTATCTTCATCAGCAATTAATCTTTATCAGACGTAATAGAAAAAAAAAACAAATAGACGAACTATCCCCGACTTCTCAAAAAAAAAAAAAAAAAAAAAATACTCGGACTAACGCTTCTTTAAAGATCAACCCCCAGTCAACCTCACCCTCGAGAGACCCGCAAACTAACCTCAATCCACCCTGCCGCCTTCCCCGGCTTCAGGAGAGATTCTAACGCCCCGCCGCCTTTCCCACAGAAGCCCATCTGGCCGCCGTGGAGGAGCAGGTCGTGGCGGAGGAGCCCGTCGTGGAGTCGGAGGCGCCCGCAGAGGAGGCCGCCGAGGAAGGAGGTCCTAAGCGCGGCCGGACACGCCCCGGCCTCAGCTCGCTCTTCAACCGGCGAAGGAGACTCAACCGGAGAAGAGAAGAGGAGTAGAGCGGAGGTGGAAGAGGCACCGTAACTGATCGCCACCTCTTCCTCTGTTCCACGAAAGAGGAAGCGGAAAGGACATGATAACGACGACGATGGAAAGGAGAAGGAAGACAGAAGGAAGAGTGTGTTTTCGTGTCCGGTCTTCGTGTTCGTTCCCGTCTTCTTCCTTGGGAGTCGGAAGAAGGAGAGAGATTTAGAGAAGAAAATCTCTCTACGTTTTTTATATATAATTCTCTTTCTTTCTCTCTCTCTCTCTTATTTTCTTTCTTCTTCTCTCGAAATCCCAGTTTCCGGTCCGTCCCTTCCCATCTATACGATAGAAAACCCAAGAAAACAAATGAACGATGTCAACAGAGAAAAAAAAACAAGAGAACATCGCTCATGACGGAACAATTTCCTTATTTCACCGTCACTTTTCTTTTATTTTTCGTCAATCAACCTTTTTCCCTTCATATTCATCCTTAAAATCGTTCTCACCTTCCATATATATAATTTTTCTTTGAATGAAGCAAAGAAAACCTTCATTGAGTGAAACGCGTGGTCACTTCACCCAAAGAAACCGAATTGCACTCATATAAGATATTTTATCACGGCCACGCTTTAAGAATCCCACCTTGACTTAATTAGGTTAGCATCGGAATCAGACGATCGGTTAATAAAGTAAATATAGTGATAATTCATACATTCTGCTCTTCAATCATCAAGAACATAAGAAACGTTTTTTTTTAATGTTAGTAATATGCTTTGTTTTATTTTTCTTTCTTTTATTTTCTTTCGTTGCATATGTATATCCTGATCCCATATCTCACTCCTGGGACTGATGAAAAAAATAATCGTTATTTTGCCTTGTGATATATCTACAAACATCTTTTCTTTCTCTTTTCTTTTTGTATTGTATCTATATATATCTTTTTTTTTCTCCCGTCCCACCTACCTCCCTCCCTTCCCCTTACCCCATGTGCTCCCCCTCCCCCTCCCCCCTCCTTGTAGATAGCAGTTTCATTTGAATCTATTTAATTTGTAAACTGTAAATATTTTGTATCTGTTTATGTTTACTTTCTTTTTTATCTTCTTCTACAAGGGGAAAATTACTGTTTAGTTTAGTGAAGTAATTCATCCCCCCCCCCTTTTTTTAGTCTTTAATGACGTATATATATATATAATCACACGTGATTCGTTATATAATAGGAAAATAGGTAATTGGTTCCTTAAAACAGTTTTCGAAATATTTTTCACTTCCATCAGACTCTCGAATTCTAAAAAAAAAAAATAAAGAAAATATACTGCAGCAGTAAACAGATAATTTTGGCCGATTTTTTTTGCATTCAGTTAAAAATAATTTCCTAACTCATTTTTCGGCTTCAAAGATTTGGCCATTCTTATTGACAAATCTTTGTATGCCAAGACTGAGTGACTTGACGAATGAAACTAGCTTTGTTCATAATTAAACCCCTTTTTGACCTCTGCGAGTGTCTCTCATCGTAATATTGGAATAGTCACCCCTCGGAAAATATAAAACGTTTTCTCTCTCCTCAGAAACATTAACACAGACTCTTTTGTACAAT